AATAATAATGATAATATAAAATAATGATGCTTATTAATGATGAATTAAGATTGCCTACTACTACAAACATTGTAATGTAATTATCTGTTTTTACAGATTAAAAAAAACTCAAACCCAACTGCTCTGTCTATAAAAATAATAGAAAGCATTTGTATAGCGCAAATCACCGCTCAACAGCAAGCTCTGTGCGCTTCACAATCTATACTATACATATTCACAACAGACTCCAGCGATCCTTTGTTGTCTTGACAATATCGGACCCACTTTAATTATTGCTGGCCGCTGTTGGGCAAAATTATCATTCCGAACTCCGCCAACATAAGAGAACCCGGAGTTCAGTTTTGTGCATCCCCGTGAAACAATCGTTCTGAGCCGCAAGTCCTCCCCTTTGTCCCAGCTATGCTCCAAGCCTCGCCTTCAAAATTATGTCCCGTATAGGCTAGTCGGCGTACGACATAAAACTTAAACGAAAGCACCATCCTCTTCCCCGCCCCCTAAAAAAGAAAAAGAAAAAAGAAGAATAAGAATAAGATACAACCACCATTAAAAAAACCACGACCCCCCCCCCTTTCCCAAATAAAAACAAACAAGCAAACAAACAAACAAAACCAACAAAAAACAAACTCCCCAACTGCCAAATCCATTCAACTCACCAGTTTCCCGGCGAGCCATGTAGTGACACCCAGCTTCCTGAGAAGCGGTCTGCATCATATCTTGGACCATAGGCCTCAAGAACATTTTGCTGAATTCATCACACATGTTGTCCACGAAGCGCAGCATGCACTCTTCCAACTCATTCGCCAGCCTGGTGGTGAGAGTGAGAGTGGGACACTGACCTAAAACTATAATATCTTTTTAGGTCAGTGGAGTGGGAGCAGGAGGGTTGTGGTGGGCATATAATATCGAACTATCGAACTATCGATATATCGATATTTTTAAAGAAATCGATATCGTATCGAAGCAGTGAGAAAAGTATCGATATTTCGATATGCCCACCACTCAGATATAGTTATATACATGTATTTATATGCGGTATATATATTATATGTATACATATGGAGAGAGAGAGAGAGAGAGAGAGAGAGAGAGAGAGAGAGAGAGAGAGTGGAAGAGGAAGAGGGAAAAAGACTACGATTTTGTTGGGTCACTATGGGCATGGGTCACGTGTGCAGAGATACATTTGAAAGTACAAGTCTCAATTCCATCCCACTTTGCCCGAATGATTTTCTCTGCTATGTCGGTAACTTTCTATACGATCGTTGTGATTAAATGTATTGGCAGTGTGCTCGTGGTCATAGCGTTTGGTGCTTTGCTGTTGTACGCAGGAGACTCGAGTTCGATTCCCGAGTGGAGATAGTTTCTTTTTTATCGAGCATCTCAGTCTTTCTCCTGGGAAGTTGTCACGCTCTCAGCCTGTGCTTGCCCTGACAGGCAGGATCGGAAGCCCGCCTCCTTAATGATCTTATTAATACGTATTCGACGTAAAAACGCCTACTTGCATTATCGTGTATTATAGAATGTATCGTTCTGATTTATGACCAATTATTGTTTAGTCTGGGCATCGTAATATAACATTAAGAGGGCATGTACAAGTAAATATGACTAACATTGTGTGCAAATATCAAGGCTATATCAGATCGATCTTTTTCACAATGTTTACACAGAAACGTACGTGCTTATTTTGACATTTTCTGCCCAATCAATTTCAATTCCATCTCATGATTTATTTTTTTTTAAACTAAAATTTTATTGGTCAACAAAATCATACACGGATGGTATTTCCCGGTTTCGTGATCGGTATTTGTTGGTGTCAGTCACTATGTAGTCTACTATTTAGAACACAGACAAAAAATTCACTTTGGTTTTAACTAGTGTACCATAAAATTAATGGACAAAAAACAAGCAGATTCGCATGAAACATTTCCGACGCAAAAAGTAAAATGACCTTTGGGCAAGCAGCCATATTATCTTAACACAATTCGATCTATCTGTAGAGATAACGATAACAGGATAGTGAAAAACAAGAAAACTTCATAAGAGTTGTTTTAAATCTTTAAGTATTAAAGGGGTGGGGAACGCATAATTTTAAAACATCATTATTATAATATCTAATTAGCAGCAGACCAATAACAATTGTGCATTACTTTTCGAAACCATCACTCACAAAACAGAAACACGAATTTGTATATTTTTATTCCAAAGCAAGCATGTTATTGCTTGAAAAAAATTTTAGGTTTTAGAGCAAAAAAAAAACATTATTGAAAAACGTTTGTGAGCGAAACAGGTTCTTTACAAATGATCTTCATTATTATTATTTTTTTTAAAGTGTTTTAAAATAGCGCGTCTTCGAGTGTTGCCGTGTTCTTATCATTATTATTATAATAATCATTATCATTGTCACCATCATTATCATTGTAAATAATATGCTATTAAAACATTGATAATACTAATAGTAGTAATATTAGCAATAATGATTAAAATAACAGCAACAACAACAAGAACAATAGCCCCTAATAATAATAATAGTAA